GGCCCGCAGGCCTGCTGTGGAGGCTGCAGTGTGAGGCATGGGGGTGCTGTGTGTGCAGTGCGGGGTGCCCTGATGGTGGGGTGAGGAATGTGTGTGGCGGGAAGCTGTGGCCACACATCGAAGGCCGTGAAGGATGGCTGTTGACATCACAGATGTGAGATCCCTCTGAACCTTACTTACCTCATGTGTGAAATGGGGCAATGATAGACCTGAAAGCTCTGTATAAACTTCTGCGTGAACACAAGTGCTGGGTATGCGATGAGAAGGGTCGTGGCTTTTGGTGAGTGGCCTGGGCATTTTGGATTTCCAACCCTCATCCCCAGGACCCAGCCCACGTCATGAGGCTCTGGGGAGTCCACCAAATCAGCAGCAGAGCAGTAGGCCCCTAAAGATCAAGAGGGGGTCTGAGCAGCCCGAAGCTGGGCGAGCTCACCCAGCGGCACTCGCCACGCTGATTCTTTCTTCAGTGAAGTGTCACTGAGCTCCCGTCCTAGACCCTGACCCTGGGGATGCGGTGTGAGCCGGACCCAGTGAGCACGACAGCCGAGGTCTCTGACTCCACCGTTTCAGGGGGGTGGGGAGGGCAGGAAGCCTCTGTTCTCAGACCTGTTTCATCACTTGACCCTGGAGCGGCCCTGGAGTTTCATGGGCTCCATCGCGCATGGGCTAAGCAACCATGGGCACGTTACTTAAAATCTCTGTGTCTCAATTTCCTCACCCACAAAGCAGTAAAGTATCTAACAGAGAGAGTTGTTTTTAAAATTCAGCGAGCTATTTCAAGCCAAGTGTGTCTACAACGAAGCCTGGTCCTCAGTAGGTGTTAGTGGTTATTTTTCAAGGAGCTGATCATTCTGAGCAGATCCTCCTCAGAGCTGGCTCAGAGCAGTCCCCCCACAGACCTTGGGGCCTGGGGCCTGGCAAAGACCTAGTCCTTCTGGGAATGGCAGGTGGCTGGAGCACCAGGCTCATGGCCAGGCCGCCGGGAGGGACCCCAATGCCCTGGATGCAGGATTTGGAGTCAGGCAGACCAGCGTGGGGCACTCCAACTTCTCTACCTTGTAGCTGTACGATCCTGGAAAAGTTACTTCACTTTCTTGGATTCCAGTTTCCTTTATAGGAATTATTTATAGTTTCTGACTATGAAATGGTGATAATGCATACATCATAGGACTGTTGTATCGCTTACCTATTACTGAGCTCAAATCACCCCAAAGTTTAGTGGCTTAAGATCACACCCTCAGTTTCGCTCATGAGTTAGTGGATTGGCTCTTTGGGCTGGGTTGTTCAGTCAGACGGCCTGCTGGCCCTGGCTGTGCGTCTGTGGTCAGCTGCTGGCCAGTGACTCAGTGCTTGGCTGACCACCGTCTGAGGGAACTGTACCTGGGTCACATATCACCTGGCAGGCTAGCCGGAGCTTGTACCCGTGGCACAATCTCGGGGGGTTCCTAAGCGTCACAAGAGAGTAAACCCAGTCCCCACCCTGTCTAATGCAAGTCCCACAGCCAGGTTCAAGGGGTGGAGAGATTGATGGGGAACAATGTGCCCAGCTCTGCTACTTACCAGGTGTTTGGAGGATGAAATGAGATCATGTACGTACAGCACCTATTAACATTGTGACTGCTCAAAAAGACAATGATTACATTTCGCTCTTGCAGGTTTTTAATAATAAAAAGGTAGATGTAATAGTTCTTTAATAGCAATTTTTAATTTTTATGAAATGTTTTGACTTGGCTTCTTCTCCTATAGCATGAGGCTAATCAATTTCAGACAGGGATGCTTGCTAGGAATTCCAAGAGGGAATGACAGTAAAGTCTTCACACAGCCCCTGGGGCCAGAATGCCATTGTTATTGTTATAAGATCCGTGACTCCACCTCCTCCCTGCACACCAGACGGCCTCCCAGACTTGATTGCTTTTTCATTTTTGTTTTATTTTGACCCACATCCCACTTTTCACAAGCCCAGAGGCTCAGAGCTGTTTGTGAGCCTTCCCTCCGGGCTGTCCTTTCTTCCTGCCCCTGGCTGCCTCTCTCCTCATCTCCAGTTCCCTGACGGCACCGCCTCCCTTTGAGTTTCATGCCTTTACCTCTGCGGAGTCTGCCTAGGGGGCTCCTCCTGGCTGGAGTCACAGCTGCAGGGGATTCCAGGGCATCCCTGGGGCCACAAGGCGATTCCAGGTACGGATGACAAAGGTGGGGAGTGCTGGGCGCCTGTCACAGCAATAAATATCTGCAGGCCAGGCAGTGCACACTGCTCCCTGTGGCTCTGGGTGGCTCTTATCCCCCACCTGTAGAAGAAAGGAGGCCCCTTCACCTCGCACCTCCTCAAAGCTCCTAGGAGCACCGAGCAGCCTCTGAAATCCCCTCAGTGGGATAGCCTGGGAAAAATACTTAATGCTTTGAGCCTGGGGAAACTCAAATTAGGAAGGCACCTACCCTGGAAAAGGAGAGCAGAGGCTCCGTCTCCAAATCTGGACGCTGATGGTCTGAAGTATGAATAACTTGAGAACCCTTCCCCACCCAGATCTTGTCAAACCAGGTGGGGCCCCTGCAGACAACCTTCTTCCTCCGGGGTCACTGAGAAAGGGGAGTGGGAGTTTCAGAAGACCCTCCTCTGAGCAGGCTCGGGGCAGCCTCCCTGCGGGAGATGACGTTCTTCTGAGACAGACTTTGAGGGATGACTTTGGAACAGCCCCCAGGCCAGGCGCTTTATACACGGTTCTCGTTAGTTCTTACGCTCGGATGGTAGAGCACAGGGGTGTGTAAACATCAGCAGGATGTGATTGAGGCTGGCAGTGACAAACCCATTTTAAAGATGCAGATGTTGAGGACTGGAGAGTTTAAGAATATTTTCTTTGAGTTCCAAGTTCAAGGGTAGAGTATAATAGATTGGCGTGGGTGGAGAAGGGGTGGGGGCAGCCCAGGAGACGGCGGATGCCACGTCCTTGGCTCCATTGCCTAGTGAGAGGGGAATGGAAAAGCACCATGCTGGGAGTGGGCAGGGCTGGTTCAGGGGTGCTTTTAAGGATACAGAAAGGGTCTTCGGACTCTGCCATGTCTCACGTCTGGATCCAGGAATGCCACAGGGCAAAGCACCCAGGGTGGTCCCTCAAGGTAGCTTGCCTGCCTGGCTTGGCGTTTCCTGTGCCCTACAGTCTGAGCAGGGCCCAGGCTGAGCCTTAGACAAATGCTGTGGCTTCTACGGTTGTTCAGCAACCCTGCTCTGCTAGAAAGAACCTAGACTGGGTTTCTCTTGCAAATAATGTTGGAGGCCCCAGACAGAGAAGAACAAGGAAACAAAGGATGTTTTATTTATGATAGAAAAAGAAACCAACAGAAAAAAGTATCTATAATCCTGACAGGAGGGGGGAATGTTTAAGTGGTGGTACAGCCATTTGATGGAATATTGTGCAACCACTGAAATGATGTTTACCGAGGGTTTGTAATAACACTGGAAGATGCTTATTCTAAAAAGCGAAGTGAAAAAAGGAAGCAATTGTATATTCAGCATAATCACACCTAGGCAAAAATCAAGCCAAACAAAAATTATGCACAGAAGAAACAGACTGGAGGAACACACATCCCAGTTGGGCGGCAAAATTGGGGAGATTTTTTATCCTTTTCTTTATTCTCCAATTTTTTTTTATATAACAGCATAGTTGGCCTAACATGGAAAGCAACCCAAAGTTAAGGGTTTTTTTTTTCTAGAGAAGAAAGAATTCTTAATGGGAAAGCAGGACAGATGATCCGGGGAGAAGCCTAGGGTGACACACAGGCCACTCTGAGGATAGAGGAGAGACCAGGCTCTTTAACAAGGTCAAATAATAAGGTGAAAATCCTAGACTCTGACCCCATGGAGTAACATGGGCAGGCTGGCACCCAGCCATACATGCAGGTCTGGCACCTCAGTGTGATTTTGACTCTTGCCCCTAAATGCAGAAACTCCGCTTCTCTCTTGGAAATAGAGCTTATCTCTGTGCAGGGAGCCTCTTTTATAAATGTTGGCAGAATGGAATTCTCTCCCTTGCATGAAAGACTAGAACAGAAGAGCTGGTCTCCCACCCTCTTTATGCACTGAGATGGAGCTCCTTGGAGGCAGTCCTGCCCTCCCTTGCCAGTGTGATAAAGCCCTCCTGGCAGCAGGGCCAGCCTTCTGTGGCCTGAGCCAGTCCTGGTCTAGGCGTCCCCAAGATTTCTATTCAGGTCTTTGCCCAGTATCCTCTTACCAGGCAGGCCTGATCCCATTATCCAGCTTCCTTGCCTTATCTGTCTCTACAGCACTTATGCAACCTGAATTCTATTTATTTGCTTTTTTAAATCGCCTGTTCTTCTTTTGGAGTGCAAGCTCTGTTAGGGCGGGGAACTTCTGTACCCCCAGCACCGGGAACAGTGCCCGGCCTAAATGTTCTGTGAATGAATCCTGACCTCATGGCCCCAGATGGTCTTTGCAGGTCCCCTGAACTACCTTGTTCTCCCATGACCATCCCATGATGGGCCCGACCACTCCCATCCTCAAACCCAGTTCGGAGACCCAGGTCAGCCATGAGAAACACAGCTCTAGTCCATCAGTAATGACTGCCTGGAGCCTTGTGTTGAAACCAGTTCTGAGGTCATTAGGACTCAATAGGGAAAGACATGCCAATCAGTTAGTGATGTCTGCAGGGGACCAGAGGGAGGGTGATCAGATGTGCTGTGTACTGCCCAGCCCAGCCCAGCCCAGGCCCAAATCTCAGCTCTCCTTCTCATCACAAAGACCACACCAGCCATCAGTGGGTCTGGAAAGAATGCTGCTGCCTTATCCCTGGATTCATTTCCCCAGTCCCTATCCTGTACATGCAGTGGGTTTCTGACAGGTTTTCCAGAGTGACCCCACATCACCCTTGGCTTGGAGCCTTCCCCCACAATTTACCCAGCTCAGCTGTGGTCTCATCCTCTGCCCAGCTCCTCACTGGAGGCCTGCCCTTGGGGACTGGGTCTGGTTCCACCTGCCCCCCCCCCGCCCACCCCCTGCTCCCAGGTGGAGTTTGTCTCCCCAGCAAACTGCAGCTTGGCATCACAATGCTAATGCCACTGCCAGTCATGCCACTGAGGCACACTCCACCCCACCATGAGTCCCTTGGAGGTTCATGCCTGAGTGTTGACTCTGAGCTTGAGCATAGTTTTGGGGGGTAGGTGACTGTCCTCCTGCACTGGCCACAGTCCCAGCTAACTCTCCTCCCCCAGTTTCCAGTGTAGGACGAACTAAGCGACCTCACTTTCCTGGGACCAGGAATAGGAATGGGGGCCTCAAGTGGTGTCTGCTCATCTCCATGCCAACATGCTTCTCATTCTTTGGTCCAACCCTGCATCTTCCAAAAAGACCCCCAGCCCAGCCCCGGCAGCTGCAGGGTACACAGGCTCCTGCTAAGACCGCCCAGAACTAGGGAAGAACTTTCTCCAGGGGATCTCATTCGTCCCCAAGGCAGAGAAGGGCATGAATTGTCCAATCCCATTTTCAAGGTAGGGATGCTGAAGCCCGAAGCTTCCTTCCTTCTCTCTCCTCTTGTCAGGCTCTGCCCTGGGGTGCCCCCGTCTCCTCCAAGGGCGTCACTGCTTTTCTATCTGTATATGTATCCCCCTCAGCGTGGAACAAGGCTATGCTGGCAGATTGGACCTGCCTCCCTCCCTTCCCTCCAGGAAGAATGAATAACTTCTTGAGGTTGGTGTGTCTCCTCCCTTTGGGAATTTACTAAACCTGATGTGAAAGATCCCAATCTCTTGATGCACCACTAGAACCTTCTAGTTTCTCAGCTCCTTCAGGGTCCTGCCCCTCCCTGGTCCTCTCCTGTCTGATGAGGCAGACCAGGTGACCACATGGCATGAGGAGGGCAAATTATGCCATCACCTCTCACCAGCCTGGTCGAGTTGACTGGTAGTGGCTGCCCACAGCTCCCAGATGTGAGGACGGGGTTGCTGGGAGAGCTGCATGGTGGAGGGTCCTGAGCCCCGGGAGAATGCAGTGGTCAACTGCAGAGGGTCTGGACAGGGGCCCAGGAGGGTGGTGCACTTGGATCATATCTCCCCCTCCCTCTCCTATATCAAATCAATTGGATTCTTAGTAGACCACTAGAAGATGTGCCTTTTCAAATGGCTGCTAAAAATGGAGGTTTCTCCTTCCAGTATCCTAGAATTATAGATAATGAGAAAAAGTGAAGCAGGCAATGGTAAATTTACTCTGCAGACAAAGGTCCCCACTGGCACCTCCAGCTTTAGCTGTTCTACTTTTCTAACCATCTCGCCTTCTGGCTGGGCACCCTGGAGCTCCTCTGGGCCCCTTCCTGGTCCTGCCAGAACCTCATCCTTCTATTTTTTTCCTACCTTTCTGTCCCAGATGCTTCTGGGAAACTTGGAGGTAGGGGCTCAAGGGACACTGTTTAGAAAGGGGGCCTGGTAGCTTATAGAGAACTGGCCCATCTGCAGTGGGGTCAGCTTGAAGGGTTATTGGGGGTCAAGTAGCATTCGGAACCATGGTTGTGATGAGGCCGTGCCCCTGATCTTTGCTGGGGTCCTGGCATACCTCCCCACAAGAGTTCAGATTTGAAGCAGGTGCATACATGGCTGCCCTGGCCTTGGAACACCTGTCCCTACTTCTGTTTTCACACTGGGCCTCTGCATCTCACCGCAAAGACACACCCCAGGGCCCTGGCCAGTGGAAGAGGTAGGATTGGAGTTCCCCTAGTGCTGGCTCAATTTCTGGGCCACCTGATTTCCCAGACATGGCCCCAGGAGTGGTGGGTAGGGCATGCGATTGCCTGCCAGTTTCACAAGAGGAGCCCAGCAGGGGCATCTAGACCCTGGTCTGAGGCACATCAGGAATGGGCAAGGTCAGGACGGTGGGCAGGAGTGTGCCCTGTGGGGAGGGGAAGCTCTGCAGCTCCTTGGGCACAAACCTGGGAGAGACACTGTCAGCCAGGAAGCAGAGTGTGCGCTGGCGCCCCACGCAGTAGATGAGATTGTCCACCACGGCGCACTGAAAGGCGTCTGGGTAAGGTGTCCGGTACGTGGCACACTCATACCACAGGCGGGTGCTGGCACTGCAGCGGTACACGCTGATGCCCAGGCTGCGGTTCAGGTCAAAACGGTAGACAAAGCCGTTGACTGCCACCATCTCCACTGTGCGGTCCTTGCCGCCTCCTGTGGGGCTGGCCCGCCAGCACCGCTCCTGGGCTGAGAAGCGGAGCAGCAGGTAACGCAGTGTGCCACCCGTGACGAAGATCTCACCGGCACACGCGGTGGCTGTGTGTGCCAGGGCAAAGGTGTCATTGGGGAGCGGTGGGGCAAAGGTCCAGCGGTCCAGGCGAGGGTCATAGCATTCCACTGTGTTCAGACACTCACCCCCAATGGCGTACAGGTGCCCATCCAGGGCCACTAGTTGGCAGTGCGGCCGGGCCTGATTCAGTGGGCACACCTCACTCCAGATCCCAGTCAGTGGATTGTAGCAGAAGACACGGTTGGAAGGCTGGCCCCAGGACCGCTGGCAACCAGACACCACAAAGAGATAATTGAAAAGACTGCAGATGGTACAGCCACGGGACACGGCCTCGGGGGGCAGAGAGGCCAGCGGGCACCAGATGCCCTGCTCATTATCATAACAACAGAGGCGGCCAGAGTCTTCCTGGGGGCACACGTCAGCCACCACCAGGTGCTTACGGCCCCGGAGCCGTCTCTGGAGGATCAGGTCCCTCTCTGTCCCGCTCAGGCACCCGTAGATGTCTGGGCTGCGCAGTACCTGGAGGTAGTTGTCACTCATCACCTTGTAGGCCGCCTCCTTTAAGGCCTCCAGGTTCTGCCTCTTGGCCAAGGTCAGTACCTCATAGCAATTGCCCAGGTCCAAGTGGACATCTGGGGCTGAACTGGAGGTGAGGGGGAGGTGGAAGAAATTGGTCCTGGCCACAAGCTGCACGTGGGGCTCACCACTACTTTCATCTGTGCCTGACCCGAGAGAACCCCTGGAGGTGGGGCAGCTGGGCATGGCACCCTGGTCTGGACAGGACGGATCCGGGGCCCCCAAGCCATCAAGCTGCAGCTGCAGCTCTGGGTTCTCCACAATCTGGAGAAGGCTCCCCTTCCTGCTGAAGCCTTGCGGGGAGGACAGCGCAGGCTGGGAGGTGGTGACTGTTTGGGCCCCATCTTCTCTACCATCAGCATGGCTTCCCAAGGCTGCCGCTGTTCCCAGGGGCCCTGGCAGTGACGCAGGAGGTGGCACCTCAGCCAGGGCTGCTGCTTTGGGGGCCTGCCTGCCCTTGGAGGTGGCCCAAGAAATGGATTCAATATAGTAATCATACACCTTGCCCTTCAGCCTGGGCCTGATCCCCTCTACCTTCTCCCGTATGAAATTCTCCTGCACACGAACCTGGGCCACTGATGAGAAGGTGTAGGAGGCATTGGTGGCCCCCTGCTGCCGACGCAGGGCCAGGCCCATGTCTGAGGCAGCCTGGAGGGTCCCAGCCTCCTCCCTGTAGACCCCTGTCATGTGGGCAAAGACCCAGCCCTTGTTCAGGTCACTCTTGCCTTCCATGTGGGCCATCTGGCACTGGCGAGGGGATTCCTGCTCCCCAGTGCCAGGCTGCTCAGAGGGTCTGCTGTCTTGCCATGGAGGAGGCTCACCACCCACACGGCTGCTGTCTACCACAGTGAGGTTGGCTGGGGAGCTTTCGGGTTCACTGCCAAAATGGGAGTGGTGGGGCTGCTCAGGCTTACCACCAGCAGCTGTTCCGGCTTCCTGGCCACTGCAACGCGGAGGCGCCAGGTCAGAGTCTGGGCACTGCCCGCCCCACTCCTCACCAGTGCCTTTCTCCTCAGGCTTCTGAGTCACTTGGGCTTCGGAGTCCCTGGCAGAGGCCCCCGTTGCTGGGACCCAGGAGCTGCCTGGGTGCTCCCGGCCACAGCCCAGTGGCGCTCCAGCTGCCTTGCTTCTCCTCCGACGCCTCAGGTCCCAGAGTGACACCCAGGGAACAGCCCCCTGGGAGGCAGGCTGCCCAGAGGAGCCCTCTCCCTTCTCCTCAGCCCCAGGCAGGGGGCCCCGGGCAGGCCTGGACTTGTACAGCCTGTAGGCTGCGGTCACCAGGAGCAGGGCAGCGGCGGACAGCACCACCTTGCCTGTCAGCTGCATGTCCAAATGCCAGGCCTGGGTCTCTGCTCCTCCTCCAGGGAGCATGCTTCCGGAGCCAACCTGGGGCTGAGGAATGTCAAGAATCTGACCAAGGATTGCCCAATAAGGGCCGGTTCCTGGTTCCTGCCGAGCTGAGCGGGAGGGGGTTCTGGGCTGGCTCTGGCTGGCTAGCAGAAGAGTTGAAGAAAAGGTGACTTTGAGCTGGCACAGGGTGGCTCAGGGGCTCAGGGCTGGCAGAGCTCTGTGGCTGGCTTCCTCGGATCCCTCAGTGCTTTCCCCTGGGGGCGGGGGTGGAGGTGGGGTCTGCCTGGGCGCTGAGCTTGTGATCAGCCACCTGAGCCAGTAGCAGCTGGAGGACGTCTGGGTTGTCCAGTGGGTACACAAAGAGGGAGGAAGCTCTAGACCAAACAGTCGCCCGATGCCAGGAAACACACGGGGTTGGTCATTACTTGTGCGTTTTATTTTCTTTTGCAAATCCTCTGGGCTGGGAAGGTTGGGTGTGGTGAATTGTGGGACAGGTGGAGCCACTGGCAGGTGTGGCGTGAGACCCTCCCGGGTCTGTTTTCTTCCTGGTGGGGTCTGCTGGTCCCCGTGGTGGGGTCTGCAGGTAGCAGCAGGGGAGGCTGAGCTGCAGGGCACAGCCAACCTCCCGACCCATCTTTTCAGTGCCTCTGTCCCCCTTCCCTGCCTGATGAACAGTCTGAGAGAACCCGCCCTCCTGAGAAGGGAAAACAGGGCATTAGTACCCAGACGGGGGAAAGACGTGGGGCACAGTTTTGCCCTCAAAACCACACAGCCCCGTACGGTGAGAGGCTGGCCGAGGGAGATGCCCCCTCCCCCTCTCACCAGCAATCCGGTTCCAGATCCAGGTTATTTGGATCTGCTGCTCACCAGCTGTGTGACCTTACGCAAGTGACTTTAATCTTTCTGTGCCTCAGTTTCTTCATCTGAAAAATGGAAGGTCAAACATATGTGGTGAGAATAAAATGGGTTAATGTGTGTAAAACTTACAGGGCAGCAGTCCCCCGCATATGAGCTCAGTAAATGGCCATTTTTCGTCCTCTTCCTCCTCCTGCTTAGCGTCATTACCACCCACATTGATTGTTGTCAGCTGGACATTCTGGAGCCCCTCCCCTGACCGAGGTCCTTTCCCGGCCCCCAAAGGCCAGGGCCCACCAGCTGATGGCGTCTCATCGCACTGTTTTGGAGACGCTCAGAGTCTAGGACACAGTGATGTGATCACTCTCGATAGTAAATATTGACATCTAATTAAAAAATGAGAATAAAAGGCACTCTGTGGGCCACAGGAAACACATGCCTGGGAAGACTTTGGCCCTGAAGCCTTGACTTGAGGGAGAAAACCCTGGCTCTTTGCGCAGATGTCCACAGCCCTCCACACTCCAGCCTCAGTCTACTCTTCCCAGTTTCATCTCCTGGCCGTTGCCTCGAATGCTGGGGCTCAGGCCAACTCCCCTTGTCTTTTCTGGCTGTTTAGAGTCAGGTCGAAGGCTGTGCCTCCTGCGCCTTCTCCCCTGGGCCCTCCATCCGGCCAGGACCATCTTTAGTTTCTTTGGGGCACAGTTGCGACCAGGGCCAACATGGGGGATGACCCTCAGGACGGGTCCTCTCTCATGTCACCATTGGAGAGAGAGACGATTGTCATCCCCATTTTATGGCAGCTCCAAGGTTACGTCAATTTGCTTATAAGCGGGGGCCTCTATCCCTGTTTCCCGAGTCCAGAGTTTGACAGACCTGCGTTTGTCCAACAGGTGTGACTTTCCCGGGAGGGCGGCCTCTTCAGCCTGACCCACTGGTTGTCCCTTTCTTTCCATCACGGTCAAAATAGTGATTCTGAATTTAACAAGCACTGAAGTCCCTGGGGAGAGGTTAGGAATGCAGGTTCCCAAGCCCTGTCTCCTAGACTTTCTGATTCAGTAGGTTGGGGTGGCTCCTGGGAAATCCCACTTAAACAATCCCTCAGGAGTTTTCAGTGGGTCTCGGAATAAGAAGTAAGCCAGCTTTCCTACTTGTCTGCTGAGAATTCCTCTCCTGGGAATGGGGAATGCTTAGCATAAGTAAAATCATTTCATCTCCCCAGTGATTCGGAGACATGGGTATTGACATCACCCTTGTTTTACAGGTGAGGAAACTGAGGCTCAGAGGCATGTGCCAATCAATGTCAAATGGATTGTGAGTGGCAGAGTCTTGATTTATATCCAAACCTCTCTAGGTGCATGGCCCACCCATCTTCCTCTAGAAGAAGAAAAGGCACAAAGGGCAATAGAAATGATGTGTCCAGTGGTGAAACCAGGGCTTGGGGGCTGTTGTGGGGCCCCCTAGTGGCCAAGCTACCGTTTCAGCAATAGGGGCAGCTCTGGGATTCCTATACCCTTAGAGAGGGGGAGACTTGTGGCATTGTCCTCTGGTGTGCTGTGACCTGGCATTGTCCTCTCAGATGCCACCAGGAGAGCAATGTCCCAGCCCCTTTGGCCTGCTGTGCCCAGAGCACTGTCCCTAAGGCTCCAGCCTAAAGCCTTTGAGTCAGACCACCGCTCTTTCCATTTGGAGCCATGCTTCTGGGCACTGGATGTGGCCAAACCAGGCCCCGGGGCAACAGAGGGAGGCAGGAGGTCCACTGGGGGCAGAAGACACAGCCTCCCCCAGGGGTCTTAGGTCCTGAATTGGAAGGTGGCACATAGACATGAGATATGATCAAGCCACAATATATCACAAAGGGAAAATTAATAAGATGGTTTGTCAATGGGTGCTTATTAACAAAGTACAACCAGGTTGTTGGATGGCCAGGGAGGCTGGAACAAGGGGCCTCAAAATAGAGGCCAGGACCGGAAGATGACTGGTTAGCCAGAGACGGGTAAGATTCCTCAAGGGAGGAACAACCTAAGACAGGCACAGTCGCAGGGGGGCCATCAGGAGAGAAATTGGGGATCAACAGAGGTGAGGCTTAGAACCTCACCCCCCCTGTTCTAAGAGAAATCTTCAGCATCCGTGGATGTTTTATTGCCCTTGTCTAGCTTAGATTAATACTTAGTCTACAGGCACAAACCTGATCATCTACATTTGCCCTCTTCCAGCACTAAACTATGTTTCCTACCTTTATCTTGCGTCTACCTACCACTTCAGCATTTTATTAAAATAATAATAATAATAATAATAATAAGGGAGAAATGTGGGATTCACATATAAATCAAGTATAAAAATCAAACGAATATTCATATTTGACCTGATTGTTTATAATTCATAATGTGTGATCAAAACCGAAAGTTTCTGTGATGAATGCCCTTGTACTGTTCACCATGTAAGAACTTATTCACTATGTAAGAATTTGTTCATCATGTAAGAACTTGTTCATTATGCTTCAGAAGATTGGAGACTGTTGAGAATTAGGCTTGGGGTGGATTAATGATTGTGCATTGAGTCCCCTATACAGAATTTTATTGTTGTTAACAACCATTTGATCAATAAATATGAGAGATGCCCTCTCAAAAAAAAAAATAGAGGCCAGGAGAGGATTCCAGAAAGAGGTGTTCAGCATTGAGTATTGATAGAGGAAGGAGGGGGCATAGACTGATTGATTGATTGAGCAAGTATTTACTGGGTGCTTATCATGCACCAGGCCCTGTGCTGGGGTGTGATCACATAGATTAAAGAAACAGGTGGCAGATGGCCAGCTCAGGGGGAAGAAGGTGCTGAGCAAGAAGATGGTGGAGTGTGGCAGTGCTTGCTGCTGAGGGTTTGGATGGGAGAGTGACACAGAGGCCCTGCAGCAGGCTGGGAGTGGAGGGCATTTGACGTGGCAGCAACGGGGGAGGCCAAGAGGAGGGAAATAGATGGTGTGAGGACACAAGGCCCAGGAGAGCCGTGGCGGTGCATGAAGACCTCTGGAGTGACCTCAGCTCTGGCTGCAGGCCGTGTGTGGGGCGTGGGGTGCGTGACACTGATCTGAATCCTGGCCTGGCACTTCCTGCGACCTTCCCTGGTCTGAAGGCAGTATGCAGCCCCCGTGGACAGCTGAACACAGAGGAGGCCTTCATTAAACGAGGCTTCGCTGTCCACCCACCATTCCCGTTCCCAGTGAACACAGCCACCTGAGGTTGTTTGAAAAGGTAGGCTTTATCAACTCTAGTCAGGAGATGCCGCCATTGGCAAGAGGGTTTGTCACCCACTGTTCCCAAGAGGCTCCCCCCACCCTTTGCAGGGCCACGCGAGAAGCACCAGGACCAGTCAGGCAGCAGAGAGAGCAAAGGCAGAGCAAGAGTCTTTATTGTGCTTTTCATGGGAAGGAGCGGGCAAGGTGCAGTACACAGGGTGAAGGTTGGCGACCTTGAATTTCAGGGGGCCCAGGGCTGTCTTTATGTGACTCACACCTGGTCCTGGAGTGATGGAGGCAGAGGCATGTCGGCCCTGGTGCATAAGAGCTTTATGAGAGCCTGACAGCGGAGGCTAGAGGGGGTGTGGCCTGGGGCTGGGTCATTTCTGCAGGACAGGTGGATGTATTCTCTGCAGGACAGAGAATAAGAGGATGTAGTTATTACAGACAGTTAGACGACCAGAAGGCAGGAGGCCGGGGCCTTCGCCTCTGAGAGCGGCCCTGCGAGGACTGAGGTTTTGGCTCTTGACATGAATATCTCATTCCAGCTGGGAGTGAATACGATGCTCCCACTAGCTGGCTTCAAACTCCATAAATGACAGCTTTTTTTTCTTTCAGTCTGTTTGGAAAAAGTGAAATGAACAAATGAAGGCAGGAGTGAAATTAAAAGATAATTGAAAGTCTATATCTGGCTTCTGTGAATGTGCGTGCTCGCCGCCAATCTGGTCTCTCTGTGCCGGCGGGATAAATTGAGAACTCCTCGGTCGGCTTGGGGTGGATAAAATAGTCAGAGACAAATGCGTGACATGCAAACAAACAGGCCCATCTTCCAGTGATTAGCTTTGAATTCCATCGTGCGGGCACCTTCCCTGTTCTGCTCAGCGCAAGGGTCTGCGTTTTCCAAAGTGGGGACTGTTATCAGGTGGGTGTGGCAGGTTAAGGCCGAGTGGAGGGTCTGAGGCTGGGAGGAGGTGTGTATAGGCACCTTGGGAGGCTATGTGTGTGCAGAGATGGGGTGGAGATGTCAGAGAGGGAGACATGGGAGAATATGGCTTTTTCTATACACATGCTGGTACATGCTTGCGTGTATACATACATGTAAACGCACACACATGTTCACGTGTGCACATACACACACACAAATGCATAATGCAC